AGTTCACTGAGTCAGCTTCCAAAACAAGGAAACCTAACTAACCTTCTAGTAGCTTTAGAGCTAAGTTTTTGTTTTTCACATGCTATCAAATCCACCATGAACAAAGATTCATCTTGCTCCATATACTTGCAGGGCAAGCCATACATGCTGATGTCAGGACTCACTTTTTCCTAACCTACTGTCACCGCTGTGGTCCCAGTATGGTTAGTTTGGGTCCCAGTAGACAGAAAGAGGCAATGTCAAATCCTATCTCATAAATAGCAACCATTTAATTTGTAAAAAGCATAGCCACATGGCTATATTTAAAACCCTGAATATATGGGGTCTGAGAATAGAGGCCTTGTCTTATATCCAGGAAGAAGGATGAAAAACACATAGCTCTGCTGAATCACTAGAAGTTTTTCTACATTACTCATTATTCTTCAGTTGAGACAAGTCTTCAATTCTAGTAGAAGAGTCAGGGTATGTGTTTGGGAGGTCCCTAGTGTGTCTGTGACTAGGTCAGTGTTACCGATGCTTCCCTAGCTGTGTGGAGATAATTTGTATGTCTGTTTATCTGCTCAATTCAGCTAACACTCCCTAGTCACCTGCATTCTGGGTACAACGCTAAGCACTAGCTATACAGTTCTTTGGTTTGTTTCTACAGAAGTCACAAACACTCCAAGTGCTGTGGTGTATTAAAGAAAGTTCACAGGTGCCTGTCCAGGTGCGTGCAAATGTATGTGTGGGTGTGTAAACCTCTATGTACATAGATGTGGAGGTCCAAGAACAACCTCAGGTGTCAATCCTCTCGAGTCTTGACTTTTGACACAGTCCCTAACTAGCCAGGAGCTCACCAGGCAGTCTTGTCTGGCCTCAGGGATCTGCTTCTCTCTGGTCCCACCAGCAATAGGGGTGCAAGCACACACCACCATACCTGGCCGTTTAACCTGGGCTCTGGGGATTTGACTCAGGCCCCTGTGCCTATGTAGCAAGCAGTTTATTAACTGAACTATCTCTCCAGCCCTTAATCAGAGTTCTTGAGGGAGGAAAGTACATTTGATTTAAAGAGCGCATTTTCTCCTCAACCTATGCTTCTGTTTACATTTTCTATTAATAATTAAAGTTAGCTCTTTCTTTTTTCCTGCTCATAAGTCTTTTATTTCCTCCAAAGCTTCCTTTAAATTATGTGGTTGTAGGGACAGCCACCATTCATTGTATGACGTCATCACTCTTCCAGTGAGATTTGGCACAGTTGATGTGGGACAGGGTTTGCATCCTTTCCTGGTGCAGAGCCCTGAGGATGTATGCTGAGAGGTGTGGGCAGTATGCCTCCTGTCACGTGTTCAAGTCCACCTTCAGCTGCTGGGACATAGAGAAACAGAAATAGGAGGTAGTGACTCCCAGGAAGATTATGAGTCTTTAATCTTTATCATCCCCAGTTTAGAGATAGGAGCCGATGCAACCCCTCTCTTCATTTAAACTACATGAGCTGGCTTTCTACATTTCTAATTAAGAGTCTCAAATGATTCAGGAACAGACACCATGTTTTTAAGGAAGAATTTGTTCAGAGTATAATTATTTCTAACTCTTGAATTAAAGGAAAATGAAAGAGAGTGCTATTTAAAATGGAAAGAACTGTGAATAGTTTAAATAACTATACACAGGCTAAACGCATAGCAACAGGTCTGAAAACCTGTTCTAAATCTGAACATTCAACAAGAGCTATTTAAGAGGTAAAGAGATGTAAATTAGTTGCTCAGATTTTAAAAGTAGGGTTTAATTTTACACAAAATGTGGAGGCCTGCTATTCTTGCCTCGGTTCTATTTTTATAGTGTCACAAAATGATTCAGTCCCACATACTGGTCTTCTAAAATGTTACTATTATGCAGATGGCTGGAGCAAACAGATGTAAGAAGATTTAAATTTGCAGCTCCTCAGCCTGAATGAGCTGAACCACCCATGTGTTAAATTTAATATTGTGTTAAAATAAAAAATGAAGCTTAATTTTGAGATATTTATATACATACATGTTTATTTAATTTTCTTCCAGGTGTGTGTTGTTTGTTGAACGTATCCACTCTGCCCCATCCTCCCTTCCCCACCTCTCTCCTCCCGACTCCCATTAGCTCCACTTTCTTCTAGACACTTCAACTTTTACTTTCATTCAGTGTGTTCAACCATATTTTTATGCAATTATATAAAATTTATTCACAACCACAAATAAAAGTAGACAACCACAAACAAGGGTAGATAACCACAAACGAGAGCAAACATATATTCACCTTTCTGAGGCTGACTTAACTTCATGTGATTTTTGCCCCAGTTTTGTCCACTCTCTTGTAAGTGGACACAAACTACATTCTTTTTTACGGCTAAACGATATTCCCTTGGATGGGTGAACCACGTGTCTTCTCATGTAACGGTGACATTACGTCACTGCTGTGAATGATGCCGCAGTAACAACTGATGGGCGTCTACACAATATTGACTTGGAAACCCCCAGATAAATGCCCTGGAGCGGTGCAGCTGATTGATGTAAGGGTCTATTTTTAGACGTCTGAGGAAGCGCCATAAGTGTTTTCCACAAAGGCTGGGCCGATTTACATTCCCACTAGCACCAGTGCACGAGGCCTCTCTTTGTGTTCCCTCTGTGCCAGCATGTGTTGTTTCTTAATGACTGACATTCTCACTGGAGTATGTGTGAATCTCCATGGAGGTTTGATTTGCACTTCTCCCATGATTTGTGGAGTTGAACAGTTTTAGTTTTAAGTATGTTTATTGGCTTTGTGCATTTCGTGTGTGTGTGTGTGTGTGTGTGTGTGTGTGTGTGTGTGAATTCTCTTTATTAGCCAGTCTATTTATTGGGTTGTCTTTTTGTTTAGTTTATTTATTTATTTATTTATTTTAGCTCTTTGTGTATTCTAGGTGTTAGTCTTCTGCTAGACATGAAACTAGCAAACATTTTCTTTTTTAAATGGGTTGTTTCTTCACTGTTTCCTTTACTGCACAAAAAATATTTAATTTTCCAATATCCAGATTGTTGATTATTGGCCGTATTTCCTGAGTAACTGAGGTTCTATTCAAAAAGTTCTTGCCTGCACTTCCATCTAGAAGTGCTTCGTCTTTCTTCTTGAAGCTTTAGAGTTTCAAGTCTTATGTTAATGCCTTTGATACATTGGGAATGGTTTTTTATGTAGGGTTAGAGATAAGGATTTACTTTATTTTATATGTGGCTATCTAGTTTCTTTAATACCATTTGCTGAACAGGCTGTCTTTTTTCTGATGTGTATTCTTGGCATCTTTATATAAAAAGTAAATGAGGCAGCTGAGGCTGTTTTATTCTATTCCAAGAATCCAGTGTCTAGCTTTGTATCACTATTTTGTGTTTGTTACTATGGTATGGTGTAGCAAGAATATGGTATGGTATAGCAAGAATATGGTATGGTGTAGCAATTTCTTCCAGAGCTGAAGCATTCTATCCTCCAGGGATGCTCCTGAAGACTCAGAAACTTCTGAACTGAAGCTCCTTAAGACTCTTGAAAGTCAATAGCTCACAAATCTCAGGAAGTCCCTGAAATGTACCAGATTCACAAGGCTCCCTAAGTCTATGTAAACAGTAAAAGCCCCTAAGGAGAGGAGACTGTCTAACCAAGAGAGATGTCCTCAAGTTGTTCAAAGAGCTGCATCATTCCAGCTTTTACGTGTTGTCCCTCATGCTGGTGGTAGAGTGGGATGTTTCAGTAACGCATTTGTACTTGAGTTGCCTGTATTCTTGCAAACAGCTTCAGTAAACTCAGTGCCTCATCAAATTGTATTATCTAATCTCATTACTTTGTCTTTCATTAGTTTCCTATCTGTGGTGAGTGACAATTTCGTACATCTCCCCAGGAACCAAGCTAAAGAATACATGGCTCTGCAGTAGAATATGAATTAGGTATGGCTGTTACTTCTTTGGCTCAGGATTACATTGGCTATCTGAGATCCTTAGTGTTTCCAAATAAATGTTGAGAATTGTTCCTTCTATTTCTGTGAAGGATAGGGTTAGAATGTTGATGGGAATCACACTGAATTGGTAGATTGCCTTTGGTAGATAGCCATTTTCACAATGTTGATTGCTCCAGTTCCTAAGGATTGGTTGCCCTTACATCTGTAGCTGTCTTCTTCAGTTTCATTCTTCAGTTATTTCAATGTTTTCATGCTAAAAGTCTTTTATTGCATTGGTTAGATTTAATTTTTATTTTATTTTATTGAGGCAATTGTGAATAAAGGTTTTCTCTACTTTCTTCCTCAGCCTCCTTGTTATTAACATTTAGGAACAGTCGGTCCACCTATTTGTATGTTAATATTATATATTGCTACTTTGATGAAAGTGTCAACTCTAAGTGTTTTCTGGTGGATGCTTTAAGTCTTCTTATACAGAGAATAGAATCATCTACAAGTAAAGATATTTTGACTTTATTTTTCCTATTTGTTTTCCCTTTATTTTCATGTCTTATCCTACCACTTTAACCAAAGCTTCTTGAATTATATGAATAAGAATAGAATAGGAAGTGCCCCTCCTTATCTTCTTTCTGATTGTAGTGGAAATGTTCTCCTGTTTATTATAAAGTTGACATAAGTTTTTTTTTTAACACAGGATCTACTAACGTTAAAATGTCCCTTCTCTTTGTGTGTGTGTGTGTGTGTGTGTGTGTGGTGTACAAGCATGTGTCTATGTGTTCATATGTGGAGTCCAGAGGAGGGTATTGGATTCCTTCTCCTATCATTCTCTGCCTTATTCTCTTGAGAAAAGATCTATCACTGAAGATGGAGTTTACTACTTTTCCCATAGAGCTAGTGACCAGCAAGCCCCCGTGATACACTTTTCTCTGCCTTTCCACTGTTATGGTCACATGTGCATGCAGTCATATTTGGCTTTTTACACGGGTGCTAGACTTGTCAAGCATTCTTACTCACCAAGTCATCTTCCCAGATTTGAATACGTTCCTTTTCCAGATTTCTTTTCTTTTCTTTTTTTTTAAGGATAGTAAAAATGCATGCTATCCCCAACTACCACGATTTATGCAGACAAGTTTCCCCCTTTGGGAAATTGCAGAGGTCAGAATATCTGGTATGCAATAGGTAAGCCTTGCCCGAGAAAAACCACCCCATGATGATGGCTTCCCTGCTAGGTAAGTACTTCTTTTCTAACTGTCTTCTAAGCTTTAATATAATGTTAGATTCTGTCAAAATCGTTTTCTGCATCTATTGAGGTGACTGTAGGATTTCTCTGGGATATGTGTTCTGGATATGACTGTTCTGGATATGACTATTGGAAAGATAAATATGAGATCTGAAACATGGTGGCTACTGCTGTGGCTTTTTAAAAAATTTAAAAGTAATTTGTTTATTTTTCCTCTTCTGTTCTTGTCTTCTTTGTCCACATCCAAATTTTTATATTTTCTTTGGCTATTAGTCATAGAATGTTCAACCATTGTAAAAGCATCTTTCAATATTTCATTTCTCAAATCCTTCCAGTTCTTATCCCAATCATTGACTTCTGAAATATAGCTTGACTATATTCTGTTATACAGAATGTATTATTAGCTCTCTCTCTCTCTCTCTCTCTCTCTCTCTCTCTCTCTCTCTCTCTCTCTCTCTCTCTGTATGTGTGTGTATGTGTGGTGTGTGTACATATCCAATAGCAGTTCCTTCAAAATCTTTCAAACTTCTTTATCTTCCTGTGGAATGATACTAGAAAGAGCTGTTACAGTCATATTTCATGGGTATAAGCCCTGTAATCTTAGTTAGTTTGGTATCTGGAGTGGGAAGATCACCTGTTTAATAACTGTGGAAGCTACAGAGTGAGTTCAAGAGCAGCTTAGACAATGAAATGAGACCTTGTTTCTTAATGAAAAGCAAAGAGAGGGGTGGGAATATGGCTTAGTAGTAGAGTGCTTTCTCACCGTGTATAAAGACCTACCTTCAATCCTTAACAATTTTGTGGTAGTTTGAATGAGAAGGGCCCCAATAGGTTCATTTATTTGAATGTTTGTTTCACAGTTAGTAGAACTGTTTGGAAAGGATTAGGAGGTATGTCCTGTTGAAGAATTTGTGTTGCCAGGCCAACTCCAGGCCTGGAGTGTGTGTGTGTGTGTGTGTGTGTGTGTGTGTGTGTGTGTGTGACTTTCTTTGCTTGATTAGTATATAAAATTCTCAGCTATTTTTCCAGCATTATGCCTGTTTGCTTACTATAATGATATAATGGACTAACCTCTAAAAGTGTAAGCAAGGCCCCAATTAAATGTTTTCTTTTATAAGAGTTGCCTTGGTCATGGTATCTCTTCACAGCAATAGTAACTAAGATAGGAGTTGGTACCAGGAGTGGGGTAATTCTGTGACAGGATTGGCCATAGTTTTGTATGGAGGAATATGGAAGACTTTGGAAATATGGCTAGAAACATGGTTCAAAGCTCTAAGAAGGGGATTAATGGGTCATCCTCGTAGGATCATGGAAGACTGTAGGGTTGAGGGCCTTAGGACTATGGAGGCCTGGATCAAAGGGTTTCAAAGTGAAAGAATATTAGTAAGTGGCCTACAGACCATTCTTGTGGCATTTTGGCAAATACTGTATCTGGAATATATAATGTGGTTCTACAATTCTTATCCTATCCCCACTGGTTGGGATATTCATTGTGGCAGAGGAGTTGCTTTGTCTAACATTCATGTCTTAACTTCTCAACCAGGATAGTACTTGTATTATCTAATATTTATGTCTTAACTTGCTAACCAGATTATCAGTTACCCATGTACATGTCACTTTCTGCCATGTAGGATGCCAATTCCCAGAGATATCTTGGGAATTTAAAATTTATTTGACCCCTACTCAAAATGGGCATTTTATTCGAAATAGGTGTAGGTGTCTCTCTTATGTTGGGATCCATTCTAGGGGAAGCTTATAAAGGAAAATACCAAAGCAAAATATGTATAAAAAGATAATACATAGGTGCAGGAATTACTGCTGAGTGGATAATGCAGGACCAAACTTATTATCGATAACTATACAAAGCAGTTCTAACTGACTTCCTCTGTGATTGGTTTCCAAGAACATCAAAGCACAGAACATCCTAGTAACAGCAGTAAGCATATGAGAAAGTTTTCTTATGACATTAGTAACAGCACAAAATGGCAGGCTAGACAGATAATAATTATCTAGGCTTTAACATTCTACCTAAGGCTTAACATACCTATTTTTAAATTTTTGAGAAACCTCCAAAATTATTTCAATAGTGATTATATTAGTTTGCTTGAATAATGTTTCTCTTTTCCTATATTTTTCAGCATTTGTTGTCAGATTTCTTGATAATATCCCTTCTTACTGGGGAGAGGTGGTGCCTCAAAGTATGGAAATAAATAACTTTTTTTCTGGGAATAACTCTAATTTTTAGAAACTGTATTTTAGCTAACATTCCAGCCAAGTTGACAATGTACTTTGAGAGCATTTAAAAGGGTGTGCTCAATCAGCTTTCCTACCTTACAGAAAGCAATGCAACCAATCTTAACTTTACCCTGGGATGAAGGTAAACACATAATCTTAAGCTATAAACTCATCTTTGCTTCTAATCTAGAACATTGTGTGTGTGCATGTGTATGTGTGTGTGTTTATGTGTTTGTGTGTGTATTTGATAACAACTATTTGTTTTGAGTGCTATTATTATGGATCCATGGGGATTGGTAAAACAATTTCTTCCCTTATAAAACTCTGGCTAAAAAAACAAAAAAAAACAAAAAAAAACAAAAATGAGTTTAGACAAAAGATTCCTCATTCTTTTTCCATACCATGTTTTATGTAGTGTTGAATGAACATAGAGTAAAGCCCTTTGTTATTGACAGACTGAAAGAACAGGGAGAAGTGGAAGAAACAGAATAGATTCACTTTGGCATAAACTACCCAATGGGCCAGAACCATTAATGTGACACTGCACCTCAAAGTGTTTTAATTTGTATTTCCATGATGATTAGGGATGTTGAACATTTTTAAAAATAGTTATTGGCCATTTGTGTTCCTTCTTTAGAAAACCATGCTGTTAACTAACCTGTTTAGTAATTGGCAGTTTTGTATCCTTGGTATTTGATTTCTGCAGGGTTAATTTTCTTTTTTGTAAATACTGTATATTAGCCCCTAGTCTGACATATGATGGTAAAGGTTGTCTCCCATTCTGTAGGTTGTCTGTGTGCTCTGCTGATGGTCATCTTTGCTGTCCAGATGATAATGGTTTCATATAGTCCCATCTACTGATACATGGGAAACATTTCCTGTGCTATTTAGTACTGGGAGACAGTTCTTATCTACCCTAGTGTTAGGATGGGTACTTCCTCTGCTCTCATCCAAAATCATAAAGGTCTTTGATCTAGTTGAGCTACTTTTGTACAAGCTGAAAGATATGAGTCTAAAATCATTCTTTTGTTGATGGATATCCAGCTTTGCCAGGATTGTTTGTTGAATAGGCTAGCTTCCCTCCACTGCACACTTTTGCCTCCTTAGTCAACTATTAGGAGGCCATGATTCTGTCAGCTGGTTTCCAGATCCTCCATTTTGTTCTGTTGATCGACCCGATCATTTTAACGTTAGTACCAGGTTGCCTTTTTCACCATATCTCTGCTGCATAATTTGAGGTCAGGTATTAGCACAACCAGCTGTGGTTTTAGTCTTTAGAACTTTGTCATCTTTCATATTTCTATATGTATTCTTGGATTATTTTCTCTAGATCTGTAAAATATAACATTGGAATTTTGATAGTATTGTATTAAAAATATAGGTTAATGTTGGTAGTACAGATTTCACAACATTAATTCTGCCAATCAAGGGTCACGGAAAGTTTTTTTTTTTCTTTTGTCATCCAGTATCCTTTTTAATTGCCCCTTTTCAAGATCTTGAAGTTTTGGTTGTAGAAGTATTTTTCTTTTTGGTTAGGCATCTTCCTAGATGTTTAAAAAATTTGGAGCTATTATGAATGAGATATTTTTTCTCTGATTTCTTTATCTGAGAGTACATTGTTGGTAAATATAAAGGCTACAATCCTTTAAGTTTTATTTTAGTGTGTGTGTGTGTGTGTGTGTGTGTGTGTGAGCCAGAAGGTAGTGTCAGAATCTTTGGGGCTGGAGTTACAGGCAGTTGTGAGCTGCCTGGCATGGGATCTGGAAGCCAAACTACAGTCCAGACTTGGAATGTTCTTAACTCCTAAGATATCTATCCAGGTCCTGTTCTTAAATTAATTTTTCAACACAACAACGTTACTGAGTTTTCTGATAGACTCTTTATCATGTTTTGGGTAATGAATCATATATTTAAATGGGATTAGTTTAACTTGTTTCACTGCTATATTTATCCCCTTTATGTTTTTCTGTTGTTTAAATGCTATAGCAGAGTCTTCAAGTACTATATTGAATGGAAGAAATGAATGTGACTCATCCATGATTGTGGAGAAAAAAATGGTCTCTGTCTCCATTTACTGTAATGGTGGCTATAGGTTTTGTGTACACTGCTTTTGTCATTTTGAAGTATGTTCCATTTATTCATAAGTGCTCCAGGATGTTTGTCATACAGGAATGCTACATTTTGTCAAATACAGTTTCAGCACCACTTGAGATGATTGTGTGGTTTCTGCCATTATGTTTGTTTATCTGGTGTGCTTGTTCTTTTACTTCTGCTGAACCAACATTGTCTCTCTGGGAAGAAACCTACTTCGTCATAATATATAATCTTCTTATTGTGTTCCTGAACTGGATTTGCAAGTATTTTTATTGATAAATTTTATATCCATATTCATCAAAGAAATTGGTTTGTCATTTTCATTCTGCTGTTATTGTCTTAGCTTTACCTAGCTATGCCTATCAGAATAATAGTGCCTTTGTAGAATGAATTTTGTGTTGTCCTTTTGCTTTGCATTTTTGGGGAATTGTTAAAAAAATGGAATGAGATCTTCCTGAAAAATTTAGTAGAATTCAATGATGAATTCATCTAGTCCTCGGCTTTTCTTTGAGGGGAAAGTGGATTAAAGCTTCAATCCTATTGCTTTTAATGGGTCTGTTAAAGTTATTTTTAACTTCCAGATTTTATCTCCCTCCCTCCTTCCGTCCCTCCCCGCCCCATCTCTCTCTCTCTGTGTAAGTTTCGAAAGCAGTCTTTACTGACATAAT